TAGTTCTCAGCCCAAAATATCATTTAGAAATATCATTTAAGTTTTCAAATCTTAGAAAGATGGCTGAGTTTGCAAAACAGTATTTAAAACCTTGGACTGAGATCAAATGATATGCATGTATGCGAAAATAGTGATGTCAATCCCTGAAGGATTCAAATAATTGGTAAGAAGCCCAAATGTAACAATTAAATCCAAGTAGAAAATACGGTAAAAAACATCTCTCGGGACGGACTAAGTCACAATCCCCAATGGTGCTCTACCCCACCCCCGTTATCCGGCGTGCAAGTCACCTCAATATAGCGTTACGATGTGAAATTCTGGGGTTTCAAACCCTCGGGACATCATTTATATCAATTACCCAGCGCTACTTCTTTAGCTCGCAACGCCTTTGCCCCTCAAATTGGCCTCCGTGTACGTCGAATCTGCCACAAATCATAACGAATATGTCGCATTATGCTAAAGGGACAATACCCAATCGAAAGCAATAAAAAAATATCAAAATTCACGAATTTGACAAAACCCGAGTCCTGGGCCCACGCTCAAAACTCAGAAATTTTTATACCAAGATGTTCTTCGTCCTCTCACGAGTCCGTACATATAAAGAACACAAAAATCGGAGCTCGTTTGACCATTCAAATCGACCCTAGAAAATCTCAAAAGCACAAGCCCTAAAACCCCACCTTTCTACTGATTTTCATGTTCTAATTCACATATAATCTTGTATTTAACTTGGAAACAAGTAGAAACAACTCACCTTTGATGCTTGATAAAATCCCCCTTGAAATTCTCTCCAAAATCATCCAAGCGAAATGAAAGAAATGAAAGAAATAAGCCAAATCCGTGTTTAAAGAATCTGCCTGTGCTTCGTCGAGTTGTACCTTGCACTTGTGCTATACAAGTTGTACATCCTATTAAAATTTTTCCTTATCGGACACCTTCTGTTTAAACACCCAAAAAGTCTTGTATAAATATCCAAATTACAAACTGCTTGAAGATTTAGAAACTAGACTCGAAGATATTTAATTTGATAGGTTGTACACCATATAACTCTTTATATATCCCGAGTTATGAGCTTCTAAAGTCGGCTCCATGAAATCCAAAAATTCTGGAGAAACTGCTCCACCAGTCATCTTCAATCGATCATAACTTTCTCTACAGATGTCCAACATACGATTTCCTTAGCTTTCGGGAAACTAGACACAAAGGGCTACAATTTCGTTATTGAATCATCTCAAAATTCCTTGTAGATCAAAAGATATAGGCCTCCGAAGTACGCTCCACGACTGCACATTTGCTGTCCAAAGACAGCTTAGCAGCAGAAATTGCAGCAGCTTTTTCTTTTCTTTTTGGGTCCGAATTCCATTCCGTTAACCTTCCGAAATCCACCCGAGGCCCTCGGGACCTTAACCAATTATATCAACATGTCCCACAATATCATTCAAACTTGTCCCAACCTTCGGAACACCCAAAATAACATCAAAACATCAAATCATCATCGGATTCAAGCCTATGAATCTCAAGAACTTCCAAATTCCATTTTTGATCAAAAACCCAACCAAACCAAGTCCGAATGACCTCAAATTTTACAGACAAGTCTAAAATGACATAACGAAGTTACAGCAACTCTCGGAATTCCATTCCGACCCTCGGATAAAAATCTCAACCGGAATTCGCCAAAATACTAACTTTGCCAATTCAAGCTTAATTCTACACCGGTCATCACAAAAATATTCCGGACACACTCCTAAGTCCCAAATCACCTAACGAAGCTATCCAAACCATAAAATTTGCTTTTCGAGCCCTCTAACACATAAGTCAATATCCGGTTGACTTTTCCAACTTAAGTTTCCTTAAAAGAGACTAAGTGTCTCAAACCTTACCAAAACTAGTCCGAATGACTTTAAATTTTGCACACAAGTCACATTCGACATTACATAATTGCACCAACTTTCGGAATCGCATTCCGACCCCGATATCAAAATTTCCACTTTCGGTCGAATTTTCTCAAAAACCTTCAAATTTCTATATTTAGCCAAATGACCTAAAAAATGACCTCTGGACATCCAAATTAACTTCCGATCACGCTTTCAACTCCAGAATCACCATACGGAGCTATTCCCAGACTCGGAATCCCAAACGGACATCTATAACTCTGAAATGCCTTCCAACCCAAATTTATGAAATTCTTCTAAAATACTAACGTCCACAATATATGCTGAAATACTCACGGGTTATCCAAAACCAAATTCGGACATACGCCCAAGTCCAAAATTATCATGCAGTCATGGTTGAACTTTCAGATCCCAATTCCGAGGTCGTTTACTGAAAATTCGAATCTTAGCCATTTTCTTCAACTTAAGGTTGCCGCAATGAAAAGTTTCTTTCCAATTTGACTCCGAATTTTCCGAAATTCAACTCTGACCATACGTACAAGTCAATATACCTGAAATAAAGTTGTTCATGACTTCCAACTACTGAACGACGCGCTAGAGCTCAAAACGACCGGTCGGGTCGCTACATAATATCTCCATGTGATCAACTTTCAAAAGGCTCAATAAATGTTTTGCCAACTTGTACTTGAATGCCTATAAAAAGGCCAGCCTCTCCTCATTTCAGTCATATAATTCTAAACCAAGAAACCATTTGCCATACATATTCTTCTCAAGAAAACATAAAGATTTTCACATTTGTTTTCATTGCCATTCTCCTCATACAGGTAGTTTTCAGATTGGTATAATTAACATATGCACTTTTGTTTAGTTCTGATGCTACGAATAGTGTTTTAAGTAGCTCTACTTCATATTGTCTTAAGAACTTTACTGGTTGCACATGAATATTCGACGTCTTCTTTCACATTTTACATCTTAAAAAACCAAAGAGGGGAAAAATGACAGTTCGAATAAATGAATTCCAGAAATTCATTTTAAGAGGTCATTGCCAATAGCATTTGCATCAATAAGACACCAAAGTAGAATCCAAGAGACAAATTGTGTCAAGAAATTGCATAATTAAAATGCAATAGGATTTATAAAATGCAATTGGCAGACCTTGGTTGTAAGAATATTTAACAAAATGATTCACTCTTTCAATAAACCTAAGATAAGGCAATCAACAACACAAACAACTACCACAATTTGGTACTTATCTAGTTATTATCACTTGTAATTAGAAAGAGAACTTGTAGAGTTTAATACCCAGTTCCAGTTTCTATAAAAAAAGAGGCAACATCAATAAAATAGTAGATATATTACTTATAAGCTAGCAGATTTCTTCCAGGAATCGACCAAAACTTAAACGTTATTGTGGCACAATCTACTGCACAATCTACTAAACCTAATGAACTATTGGAACACTATGCAGATGAGTGATGATCAACAGTAAATTCCTGTCAAATCCAAACTTCCTAGAGACATCCCTGCTGCTACAACCTTGGCGACGATCTACAAGGATGTGGGATCAGCTTTACAAAATCACACAAACTTCCTAGAGACATCCCTCTTTCTTACACAATATTCTTGCCTTAAATAGAGATATTTGGAGTTGCAATAAATAGTACTCCCTCCGTTTCAATTTATGCGAACCTATTTCCTTTTTAGTCTGTGCCAAAACGAATGACCCTTTCACTATTTGGAAAGAATTTACCTTTATGTAATGATTTATAGCCACACAAAATATGTGTGCCTCATTTTACACCACAAGTTCAAAAGTCTTCTATCTTTTCTTAAACTCTGTGTCCAGTCAAATGGGTTCACATAAATTAAAACGGAGGGAGTAGTATTGTACAACATATTAGGTGAAAAAATTTAAGAAAGCCTATACAACAACAACAACAAACCTAGTGTAATCCCACAAGTGGGGTCTGAGGAGGGTAATGTGTACGCAGACCTTACCCCAACTTTGCAGAAAGGTTATTTCCGATAGACCCTCAGCTCAAGATTTCTAAACATTTGAATTCTAACAAATAAATCTACTTATTTTCTAAAGCATGTCTGTGTTCCTAGAAAGGGAACAACAAGTAGAAGCACTAGAAGAGCTAAACATTAGTGTTCCAGAAGTAAGTCATTGTAACTAAAAGATACAACCACTCTAATCAAAATTATACAAAGTAGAGTAATAGTCTGTTTATGCAAGTTCAGCAAACAACACGAATAAAAGAGGATGGTTGCAATAGGTTGACACCCAACATAAAGTTATTCAATTTATGATGAATCTTCACGATACAAAATGTCCAAACTTGTTTGAGATCGAGGCATAGTTTTTTGTGTATGAAAGTTCAGCTGGCTCTCACTTTAACCATTAGAATGAATGACTATTCAGGTGAAATGATGACATAAATAATGGCAGGCACAAGGACTTGCATATAAAACTGCTCATAGATATAGCAAATTCCGTGGTCTTTCTACAAGTATTAGGGTTTAGGAGGCACAAGAATGAGAAAAAGAAAGTAATGCTACTCATACCAATTCTTGGCGAAGTCTGTTGCTGTGATGTAGAAAAGAAGCTTTATCCTCCGTCAATCTGTAAATAACTGATTTTTCCTAAAAAGATACGTCCAGATTAATCATGTTGATGCGGAACTGTACGGTAAGGAAGCTGGTCAAGATCTCCTTTCAAACATGCTTAAAACAAACAAATTATCTACAACAAGCATGAAACGTTTGAAGGATCTAAGAGTAGTTGCAAATGTGTACGCAGAAAAAGCCATTAGCAAACAGTTTAGGGGATAAGAACAGATCAAACTTCTCTTTAGATTGCTACTAAATACTGATCTAATATAACTAGCGAGCATCTTATGTGAATTAGGATGACAAGACAACTGTACTCGGACTAAGAGAATGAGGAGAGGAATGGAGAACTAATCACGAAGAGAATGATGTTCCCTTGATTTGATCAACTAGATATCAAGATAAAGCCTGCAACAAAACTCAACACTAGAAGAAAGAAACATGATATATTTATAATAAATTAAAGATTCTAATATAGGGTGAAATTCCAAGATAACAAACTTTTTACCTAGTTTAAGGGTAATGTCTGATCAGAAAACCAAATATTTCTAGCGCATGTCTATTCCAAATGATTCATAATCATTCAGAGAAAGATCGTCAAAACAAACTTGAATAACATATATCAAACCAACAGTTTGTAGCTCAATGTCATCCAAATTGAGATTAGATGTTTAGCTCCAACAGTATTTTCAGGAGAACTTTTCTGGGATGATACTGGTCTCGATAATAAAGATTGTAAGTTTGTTGATAACATATCGTAGATACTACAATGAACTCGAGTTATTTCAGTATATGTCACTACATCCTAACGTATTTACACCACTTCTCTAGATAACATATATTAAGATATCAGTAGGTCATTCAAAAACATCTCAAAGACACAAGAAACCGCGATAGATTAGGTCATTTTTAGACACCTCCAACGACATGAATGCGCCTACTAAGTGAATGATGATTCACAAATAGTCAAATAGTACAAATCAGTGACAATGAATATGTCTCACAAGCACTAATATCAGCAAATAATAAATGCATAAATGTACACAGGTATAGAATACATAGAAAATTTGACATTCCACAAAACAATAGTGCACAAATATATTATTGACTATCATTAGGACATAAGTAAACAAAGACACACACATATGTTATTGACTTTAATGGGATGTAAATGTATGCTGCAATATGGAATTATAATAGAAATTTTACCTCTGAAGATTTGTCATGAGTTTCAAGGAATGTTCTTGTGAGTTCAAAACCATTTTGACTATACATATTTCCAAATTAAAGTAGGTTAAACAATGTTTAAGCAATTAGTTAAATTGAATTATTTCAATTTTTGTTAAGTTACATCATCCTCACTGCTCCTCTTGGATTCATTTTCAGCGTGAGAGACATATAAGCCAATAGTTCACTATCCTCAGTATACTGATGCTTAAACAAGTACACAAATCAACATAACAAATAAGTGTACATAGGTTAAAACAGATAGACCAAGTACTAGCTCTACTAATGAATATATACTCAATTAGATTATCAATTAAGCTTCCAAAAGTGATCAAGCTAATGTTGTTGCACTTGAAATGGTTGATAAAACATCAGTTGTTAAACCTACTACTGCACTTGAAGTTGAGAAAATAGCAGGTTTGAAACCTAGTGTTGTGCATATTCAGGGTAAGATGTTGAAGATATGAAAGATTTGGAAAGTGCAATTGATGCAGGTGTTCACGCAAAGGAAATAGCTGGGCAGTCACAACATATTATAGATGATCAAGCACAAGATAGAGTACAAGTAAGAAAGTTCCAGCACAATCTGTTGCACAATCTACTTAACCTAATGACAACCCTATAGTTATACAACAACTAAAAATTATCAACTTCGATTTTAGGAGAACCAATATTTCGACAGTTATACTTGGCACTCAGTGACACTGATAGTATGAAATTGACATTGAGAATAAACTTTTAGAGAATATGATTTAATCATGATAGGAGATATAGTAGTTGCTCATTCAAAACAGATATTGCTCAACAGATGCCTTTTCTAAAAAAATTATTACTCAATTCACATAGAAAAGGGTAAACTTTTGAACCTTACCATGATGTGAATAACCTCAAAGATTATCAGTTGTTATCAATGGAGGTGACGAGCAGCTTCAATTCGTTCGCTAATTCGCTCTGCTAATTCCGTTCAAACCGAGGTTTACTAACAGTTAGAGAAGTTTTGGGCTTATTAGGTTTATACGATTGAACTGTTTAATTCGAAGTTTGGGGCTTTTTCCTTTTTTGGGGGTGGGAGCGATGGGGGTGGGAGATTTGGCAGAATATGGGTTGGGAAAAAAAGTGGCAAAAGTTAGCGCCATTTTTGTCACTTTCTTAATAATTATTTAATGATCGGTTGTGTTATATTATAACGGCCGAATATCATCCCCTCGTTAATATTGAGCAAAAAATTAGTTTTAACGACCGGGAAAAAATTTTGTTGCTATAAATATACTTATAACGACCGGTTTTATGTCCCTTCATTAAGAAATGGTCGTTAAATATCAAATTTCTTGTAGTGAAGTCTGTCGGTACTATAAATAGATATGTGTAGGTCACAAGCTAAAGTATGGTGGAGCAACAAGGCCTAAGGTGGACAGGAATAAGGATAAGAAAAGGTGAGTGACAAGGTGACGAGAATAGGTAAGTCCTCGGGATTAAATCAATCACAACAAGAAAGATGATGGTTTCCATAAAGTAATGAAAATCTCAGTATAGCATGAGTGAATTCAGAGAAGCTTAAGACTAGGAGAATTTAGAAAAGATGGAATGCTGCCCTAATGGTAGAATAAGGGTGTAATTGTGATAGATAAGAGGATGACGTTTAGACTTTTGATTGGGTAATAATTCAAAGAAAAGGGATTTCATGAATTGTACAGGATTAAAATACCCCCATAAGGTGAATCACGTTGGGATGCTATGAAATATGATTAATGAAGTATTGTACCGTCCCTAGGTGGATCAGGCAAATAACTTCAGATGTTCCTTGATGCAACGTGAGCCCTAACGACTTGTATTGCAAATGAGGTTTCAAGTGATCAATGATAGATTATAGATCAACATTAAGGTGAAGCAATAATAGATGGGTACAAGTTCCAGAGTACGAAATTTGATTTGTTTGTTATTCTTAAGATGAATGGTAATGAGGAAGCATTAAAGGACTTAGATTTATACATATAGGAAAAGCAACGAGAGAGTAACCTGGAGTTGGGTAGCAAACCTCGGTAATAATAAATCAAATTATTTGTTATGGTATGGTATAAGCTACCTAGATTTAATAAAGCCATAAGCATAGCTAACTGAGGTTATGAAACAAGATATAGAAATAGTCATAAGTTCGACAAAGTATCGATCAAAAAATTTCAGTACACCTATAGATGCCTAGAGGGACAACTTGCCATAGTTTGTATATATTCCCAGAGTGAGGCCTAGAGATTGGCTAAAACCCGGAGGAAGTAGGAGAGAAGAGTCGCATAGGCACACATACATGTTGCATGATAGAAGGTCGCAGCAGCTACGAGATTTGAAGAATTCCGACAATAAGTCATGGTGTGAGAAAGATACCTAAAGGGGGGAATGCCCTAGCCTTCGAATTTGTTCACAAAACAATTGCCTAGATGGCAAGGACCTAATTAAAATATTCGTAAGAGCTATGTGTTATGAGACTAATAGGCGCATCAATAAACATTCAAGGATGAATGTTCCAAAGGGGGGAATTATGTTACAACCCATGTTTTCGTACGCGAGAGTATTCGTAAGTCAATTGATGTAAGATCAGAAATGAGATCAACTTTGAAAGTACATAAAGTAAGTTAATGATGTTACAATGTAGGTTAAGAATATTTAAGATCATGAATACTAAGTACCAAGAGGGTTTAAAGGCTTCGAAGCTAAATGAATTGAAGAAAATAAATTTTGTCGAAAGTTGACAAGTTGGGAATGTTATAACATGTACTTTTGGGGTGAGAATAAGGTATTTAAAATTATAAAGAAATTATATTATGAATTATTTTAGTCGTATGATATACTTGTGTTATGATTTGAAGTCAAGCGAGTTGTGGAACAAAAGTTGGAAAAGGTCATCACAAGTTATATTTATAAATGTGTTGAAACTTAGGTCAAATTTAACTGCACTTTTGTCCCCAATATACTTATAGTTATGGGGTGTTCCACACATCAAATTGAATCTATATGAGTCTATTTTCTAACTCATTAAACCATTTATCAATACGATATCAGAGTAGAAAGATATATGCATTTTTGTGAGACTGCACAGGCTGCTAGGTGACAAGTAGGGGTGTCACCTAGTTGGTTAAATAAGAGCCCAAAAAGACGCAATTTTGGGTCAGCCAAAGAGCCCATTTAAGATCTTATTTCCTGTAATATAAACCTCATTATATATCACAAATAACCATACATAAACCGCTGCAAACGTCCTCCTAAAAATTATCCACAAACCCTAATTGATTATCTCTCCTTTTCAAGTTCTAATTGGGGGTAAAACCTAGAATTTGAAGAACCAAGATAAGGGATGAGTTATCCAACAAATAAGGTAATTTTACTGCTTTTTTCATCCATTTTTTCTTCTGTAAATTCATGGTAAGTCGTTCTATACTTGTAAGAACTCACGGGACGGTGATCGGAAGCCGTGAGTTCGAGTTATTCACTTGTAGCGGACTATTTTGCGGATTGTTTTGTGTTGTTGTTGGGCTGCGTGTTGTACTATTATTTTGTGGATTTTTTGGGGATAAACGGTGTGGAGAAACACCATATATATTTAGGGTGGTGGTCTGGTCATTCGTCGTAATATTTCTGGGTCGTTTGACACTACTACGATGGTCGTTTTGTGTATGAAGAGATTGGGGTGTGTTGGGCTATTTTTTAATATTTGATGGTGTATACAAGGCTGGAAAATAATGTATATATGTTGTTATTGTTGTGTTATTATGTTGTTGGTGTTGTCTTGAATTTGGAGGAAGTAAGGATTATAGGGGAGATGTTGTCCGTTTTAATACAAAATAAGCTTGTCGTTCATTGTGCGATATTTGTACCTTTCGTAACACAATTATAGTATTATTATCGTTGTTGTAGATTAAGGTGCGAAGAGGCGAGTCCAACTTGGTGATTGGAAAGACTGTGATAAGGTATGTTAAGGCTAAGCTCTTCCTTCATTTTGGCGTGATCTCGTAATTACATGTGTTTGATAACGAGGCATAAAGAGAAGTTCATACTCATGAATTTATATACACCATCCTAGTCTCATAAGTTACAGTATTCTCCCTTATCGAGACTTCATATTCAGTTTAGTTTTGTCTTCTATCAGCTAAGAGAGTAGAGAGTTTATATATATATAGTATTACAGTATTTTCACTACCATCAAGCTCTAATCGATGGGCAAGCCCCTATTAGGAAATCTCAGATAAGATAGTGAGTTATATACCAAGCCTACTATGTCCGAGCGCCTATGAGTCAGCCCAGAATGGGCGAGATACATAGCCTAGTATAGCCGAGCTCCTATGAGCTAGCCTACTACGGCAGAGCATTTATATACATACCGATCCTTAAAGGGCCGGACAAATATTACTTACTATATTGAGAGAGTTAAGCCAGTATCAGCACGTAAGCATATCTTCATATTATCTTTGACTCCCAATTATTTCAGTTATTATATTATCAGTTCAGTTTCAGCTTTCAGTTATCCTGTTGCCTTACATAATCGGTACATTATTTTGTACTGACGTCCCATTTGCCGGGGATGCTGCATTTCATGCCTGCAGGTCCTCATTGATAGTTGGACAGACCCTCCCAGTAGAAAGATTCAAACATCAGCTTGGTTGGTAAGCTCCACTTCCTCGGAGTTTCCAGGTCTAGATATTAGAGTCCATTATATATAAACAGGTTTGATTGGTAGGTCGAGGCCTTGTCCTGACCATGGTACAGTTCAGTTATCTCTAGAGGCTTGTAGACAATCTTGTATAGTTTGTATATTAGTAGATGTTCATGGCGGCCTCGTCAGCCTCCACAGTTTTATAAATATATATATATATGTGTGTGTGTGTGTGTGTGTGTGATTTTGGATAGGTTTACTCCACATATGAGAGAGATGTTATTTTCAGATGATTCAGAATATGGCATCATCAGCCTAAGATAAGGGTTACCCCTCTAGAGTCTACAGTTACATAGTGGTACGCTCGGGCCGTGTATGGCACCGGGTTCCAGCCATGCCTCCCCAGGTTGGGGGCGTGATAGAGTTCAAGCCCTATTTAGATTCTTTTGTGATTGTATTCATTGACGATATCTTGATCTACTCCCACAATCGAAAGGAGCATGAGTAGCATTTTCGTTTTGTACTCCAGACTTTGAGGGATAGCCAGTTATATGCCAATTTTTAAAGGTGTGAATTTTGTTTAGATTCTGTCACCTTTCTGGGCCACGTCGTATCAACAAAGGGCATAGATGTGGATCCTATGAATATTGAGGCGGTTCATAACTGGCCTAGACCTACTTCAGCTACAGAAATCCGGAGTTTCCTAGCTTTGGCGGGTTATTACTGCTGGTTCGTGGAAAGGTTTTCATCTATAGCAGCCTTATTGACCAGATTGACCAAGAAGGGTGCCCTGTTCAGATGGTTGGATAAGTGTGAGTCAAACTTTCAGAAGCTTAAGACTGTTTTGACTACGGTGATAGTGTTAGTGTTTCCCATAGGTTCTTGATCTTACACTGTATTGTGATGTATCTCGTATTAGGCTCGTATGGTATTAATGTTGGATGGCAGGGTAACTACATATGTGTCGTAGCAGTTGAAGGTTCATAAGAATAATTACCTTGTTCGTGACTTAGATTTGGTAGCCATTGTTCATGCGCTGATGATTTGGAGGCACTATCTTTATATTGTATTGTGCGAGGTATTCACTTATCATTTGAGTCTATAGTATTTGTTCAAGCAAAAGGATCTCACTTTGAGGCAGAGGAGGTGGTTTGAGCTGTTGAAAGACTATGATATCACCATTTTGTATCATCCCGGAAAGGCCAATGTGGTGGCCGATGCCTTAAGTAAAAAGGGTCGTGAGTATGGGTAGCCTTGTGTATATTCAAGTTGGTGAGAGGCCTCTTGCTGCAGAAATTCAGGCTTTGTCCAATCAGTTCATGAGGTTAGATGTTTTAGAGCCCAGTCTAGTTCTAACTTCACAATTGCTCGGTCTTCCTTGTATGAGCGCATCAGAGGGAGGAAATATAATTTTCCTCATTTACTTGTCATTAAGGACACTCTGTAACATGGTG